GTGTGGTTTTAGCATCACGGCGACTCATTCATAGAATGGGTTTTATAATGTTCCTTTTGTTTCTGTTTTGTAGAATAGTTTGAAGATTATTGGTTTTAGCTCTTCTTTGAAATTCTGGTAGAATTCTGTGCTAAAGCCAACTGAACCTGGGTTTTTGGGGTTGGGAAACTTTTGATAACTGCTTCTATTTTCTTAGGGGTTACAGGGCTGTTTAAACTGTTTACCTGATCTTGAGTTAACTTTGGTAAGTGAAATCTATCAAGAAAACTGTCCACTTCTTACAGATTTTTGCAATTTTTGTGGCACTTGAAGTAAGATCTAATGATTATTTGGATTTCCTCAGGGTCTGTTGTTATGTTCCCCTTTTCATTTCTGATTTTGTTAATTTGGATACTGTCTCTCTGCCTTTTAGTTAGTTTGGCTAGCAGTTTGTCTATCTTGTTGATTTTTTTTTCCCCAAAAAACCAGCTCTTGGTTTCATTGATTCTTTGTATTGTTCTCTTTGTTTCTAATTTATTGATTTCAGCTCTGAGTTTGTTATTTCCTGCCTTCTACTCCTCTTAGATGTGTTTTGCTTTCTTTTTCTTTCTTTTTAAAGCTTTTAGGTGTGCTTTTAAATTGCTAGTATGAGAACTCTTCAGTTTCTTTATGATGGCGCTCAGTCCTATGAGCTTTACCTTTAGCACTGTTTTCACTGTGCCCCATAAGTTTGGGTACATTGTGCCTTCATTGTCATTGAATTCTACAAAGTCTTTAATTCCTTTATTGCTTCCCTGACCTAGTAGCCATTGAGTGGAAAGTTCTTCAGTTTCCATGAGTTTGTAGTTTTCTGTTGTTTCTGAGTTCCAGCTTTAATCCATGGTGGTCTGATAAGATACAAAGGGTTATTTTAGTCTTCTTGTATCTATTGAGGCTTGCTTTGTGCCCAAGTATATGGCCAATTTTGGAGAAGGTTCCATGAGGTGTGAGAAGAATGTAAATTCTTTTGTGTTTGGGTAAAATGTTCTGTATATATTTGTTAGGTCCATTTAATTCATGACATCTGTTAGTTTTGTTTATATTGCTGTTTAGTTTCTGTCTCTATGACGTGCACATTAGTGAGAGAGGGGTGTTTAAGTCTCCCACTATTAATGTGTGGGTTTTGATGTGCAATTTAAGCTTTAGTAATGTTTCTTTTACAAATGTAGGTACCCTTGTATTGGGGGCATAGATGTTTTGAATTGAGATGTCTTCTTGGTGGATTTTTCCTTTAATGGGTTTGAAGTGTCCTTCCCCATCTCCTTTGATTAATTTTAGTTGAAAGTCTGTTTTATTAGATACTAGACTAGCTACTACAGCTTGTTTCTTGGGTCTATTTGCTTTGAAAACCTTTTCCAGCACTTTACTCTGAGATAATGTCTATCATGATTGCTGAGGTGTTTCTTGTATGCAGCACAATGGTGGGTCCTGTTTTCACATCCATTCTGTTAGCCTGTGTCTTTTTATTTGGGGAGTTGAGGCCACTGATGTTGAGAGATATTAATGACCAGTGGTTGTTACTTCCTGTTATTTGATGCTGTGTGTTTCCCTTCTTTTGGTTTTGGTGATGTGGGGTTATTTATTTCCTGTGTTTTCCTGGGTGTAGTTAGCTTCCATGGGTTGGAGTTTTTCTTCTAGTATCTTCTGTGGGCTAGATTTGTGAATATGTGTTGTTTAAATGTGGTTTTTTTTTTTCATGAAATATCTTGTTTTCTTCATCTATGGTGATTAAAAGTTTTTCTGGGTATAATAGTGGGGGCTGACATCTGTGGTCTCTTAGGGTCTGTAAAATATCCGCCTGGGCCCTTCTGGCTTTTAGAATTTCTGGTGGGAAGTTATATGTAATTCTGATAAGTCTACCTTTATATGTGACTTGGCCTTTTTTTCCCTTGTAGTTTTTAATATTCTTTCTTTGGTTCACATTCAGTCTTTTGATTATTATGTGGCAGGAGGATTTTCTTTTCTGGTCCAATCTAGTTGGTATTCTGTAAGCTTCTTGTATATTTATAGGCATCTCTTTTTTAGGTTGGGAAATTTTTCTTTTATTACTTTGTTAAAAATATTTTCAATATTTTGGAGCTGGGAATCTTCTTCTTCCATTCCTATTATTCATAGGTTTGGTCTTTTTATAGTGTTCCAGATTCCTTGGATGTTTTGTTTCAGAGACTTTTTAGATTTAACATTTTCTTTAACTGATATATTGATTTTTTTCAATCATATCTTCTACACTTGAGATTCTCTCTTCCATCTCTTCTGTTCTGTTGGTAATGCTTGTGTTTGTAGTTCCTGTTCTTTTCCTTAGGTTCTCCATATCCAGGATTGCTTCAGTTTGTGGGGTTTTCTTTGGTTGGTTAGTTGGTTTAGTTTTTTGTTTGTTTGTTTTGACACAGGATTTCTCTGTATAGCCCTGGCTGTCCTGTACTCTTTTTGTAGAGCAGGCTGGCCTCAAACTCAGAGATCTGCCTGCCTCTGCCTCCCAGAGTGCTGGGATTAAAGGCATGTGCCACTGTGCTGGGTTAGATTGTATTATCCTTACTCCGTCTATTTCCAGTTTTAGATCTTAGTCTTATTCATTTCCTTCTCCTGTTTGACTGTATTTTCCTGTATTTCTTTAAGGGATTTATTTAATTCCATCACATGTTTGACTGCATTTTCCTGCATTTCTTTGAGGGATTAATTTTCCCCTTTTAAGGCCACTGTCATTTTTTATAACCTCAGATTTAAGATCGTTTGCTTGCACTTCAGGTGGGATAGTATCTCCAGGACTTGCTGTGGTAGGATACCTGGGTTCCAGTGGTGTCATATGGCCCTGGGTTTTGTTACTTGTGTTCTTATGCTGACCTCTAGCCATTTGGTTGTTTGTGGTGTTAGCAAGCCTGATAGTCCCTGATGATAGTAGGTCTCTGGGGTTGTAAGTAGAGCTGGTGGTCCCAGATGGCAGCAGTCCTCTGGTTTTTCTGGGTGATGGTAGGCCTCCAGGTATACAGGGAGAGCTGGTAAGCTCTGATGGCTGCCATCTCTGGGTTTGCAGGTGGAGATTGGGCCAGGCAGTCCTTGATGGCTGCTTGTCTCTGGTGGTCACTGATGGGTATCATTCTCTGCTGCTCTCTGATGGCTCCTGGTGTCTGGAGTTGCAGGTGTCAGTGTAGCCTGGGAAATGGCACAAGCCTGGGTTCTGAGGTATGGGGCACATAGGGACCTGAGCAGACCTTGTCATTGCTGGCAGGCTCTGGCAGGCCAGGAGTTGGGGATGGATCCTCACTTCCTGCTCCTTGATGGATGCTGGGCTCTGCGGTTGCAGGTTGGGGAGAGATGGTAGCAGGGAACTGAACCCGACTCTCAGATTCAGGGTCAGGAGCCTTATCAGTTGAGCGTCTTTGTATGCTTTTAATACCTTCATAGGCATTTTCTTCTTTTAGGTTAAGGAAGTCTTCTATGATTTTGTTGAACATATTTTCTGTGCCTTTGACCTGTGTTTCTTTTCCTTCCTGTATTCCTATTATTCTTAGAGTTTGTCTTTTCATAGTGTCCCAGCTTTCCTGGGTATTTTGTGCCAGGATTTTTTTAGAGTCAACATTTTCTTTGACCAAGGTATCAATTTCTTCATGTCTTCAATGCCTATGATTCTCTTTTTCATCTCTTATATTCTGTTGGTGAAACTTACCTGAAGTTTCTGCTCAAGTTTGTAAATTTATTTCCAGATTTCCCTCAATCTGGGTTTTCTTTATTGTTTCTATTTCTCCTTTCATGTCTTGAGCTGTTCTATTCATTTCCTAGCCTTTTTTTTTTTGTTTTGTGTTTTCATAGATTAAAGGATTTACTAATTTCTTCTTTAATGAACCTCTATCATTCATAATGGCTATTTTAAGGTCCTTTTCTAGTGCTTCAGCTGTATTGCATTTCTCAGGGCCTTCTGTGGTAGGGCTGCTGGGCTCTAGTGGAGATATTATTCTGGCTGTTATTGTGGTTTTTACATCGGTCTCTGGTCATCTGTGTTTGAGACAATTGTAATTCTAGGTGCTGATACTTGAGCTTGTCTTTGTTGGGTGGGTGTTTTGTTTCTTGGTTGCCTGCTCTGGTTCTTAGGAGATTTAGTGGCTGTGTGTTGCCTAATAAGAACATTTTCTGGGATTCTGATAGGTGTGGCCACTGAGATTTTCCAGGTTAAATGTCTTTCTAGGTATTAGGAGGTGACATGTAAGAATGCGGATGGGCTAGGAGGAAGGTGTTAAGGTCCCCAGGATGGAGGAAACAGGGTGTTCCACCAGGGTTTGCTTAGTCCCCCAGGGACCAAGGGCAGGCCACAGCCGAAGGTCTGTTACAGAGCTGGGCATGAGACTGGGAGATTGAACTGGGTGGAATGGAGGGAGAGGTGAAGATCAGCAGTGCCCTTTGAGGTCCAGAGAGTACTGACTGGAGTTAGGTCTAGGATAATGCAATGAGTGTGTGTGTGTGTGTGTGTGTGTGTGTAGAGAGGTTAGGAGTGAAGATCTATGTGATCTACATGATGGGGTGGGGGCTGGGGCGGATCATAAAGGAGAGGATGCAAAAGGTGACCTGCTTTAGAGCTAAGAATGAGACTGGGGACTGAATTTAGAGGAGAGAAGGGACATGCAAAAATCGGCAGTCAGCCTATCTGCTTCCCTGGCCTCAGTAACCTGCAAGTTCCCGGGGAGTACTAGGAGTTGGGGGCTGGGATAAAGCAATAAATGGAAGGAAGGAAGTCAGGAGGAGAAGATATGTGTGATCCCTGGAGATGGGGCAGTAGGGAAGGGAGCAGGGGGGCACTTGCAGAATTGGGAAGTGGGATGGATTTGGAAGAGCAGAGGGACAAGAGAAGATCTGTAGCTAGCCTGCTACCCTGGCTGGAGTCCTTATTTGTTAGTTTTAAAGCACAGCTACATGAAGTATAAATGAATTTTTACATTGTAACCCATTTCTGTTATTGCATTACAACATGCTTTGAACTTTCCCATCTACAGGATACATTTCCACCCCAGATATACTATAAAATTTTTACTCACAGACATATTGAAGATCTGTGTGCTAACAGCCCTAAAGACTACACAAAGCTTCCGTCAAGATACACATCTCATAATAAAGACGATCCACCTGAGGTTGAGAACCGAAGTGGCTGGTATCGCCGGGTAGAGAACAATGGATGGAGGCCTGTTGCTTATAGAGTAAGAAAATGGAAATACTAGTAATTTTTATTTTGCATATTTAGAAATTAATCTTGGTTTTGAAAGTTCATCCTGAATTTTAAAAATAATAATTGTAATTTAATTGAAAAAAATTGCTTAACTTAGCTATTTTGGAGTTGTTAATTCTAAGGATAACAATTTGTCTTTATGTTTATTTATAAATTATTGTGTGTGTAAAAATAATGTGTGTGCAAGCATGGGCAAATATGTGTTCCACTGTTCATGGAGAAGTCAGAGGACAGCTTTTGGCGCTGGTTTCCCCCTTCCAACTATGGGCTCCTGAGATCATACCCACATCACCAGGGTTGACTGGTATTTTTGCACAGTAAGCCACCTTGCTGCCTCTCTTACATTTATTTTTTATCAGGTTTCAAACTAGGCCATGTTTATTTACTCTCTGCTAACTGTATACTCAAAACACAGACTATAGGGTGAGGTATATTTATGTATCAAATGTTTAAATGTCTCAGATGTTTAAAATGACTGAGGTGTGAATATGCTCATTCAGTACTTTATTGCATGTCTGTCATGTGTTAGGCTAGTTCCAGATGCTACGAACACAGTGGTGAGAAGACACAGCTCCTTCTCTCAAAGAGGGTGCCTGGACCTAGAGAGAGTCAAGTAGGCAGGCTGCTTTGGCGCAGTCTGGTAAACGCTTAAACAGGGCATGGAGGGAGATAGGGCAAAGTTACATAGTTCCTGTCCTGTGGGGATACATGGGAAGGGGGAAGCGACCAACCAGCTAGGAGGACTTGTCACTCAAAAAGCCACAGTTTGCAACATAGCAGAGGCCCTTCTTTTCTGGGTGGATAGAATCCTTGAGGATTAGAGTTATAAGAAGCTAGCAGCACTAGGAGGGACTAAGTATGTTCAGGTGAGATGAGGCAGACATGCTCAGAATAGGCTTACTATTCATTCATTCGCCAGGTACTGAGGGAACGCCTCAGCACACAAGGAGTTGGTCAGAGCTGCTCCTGGAATGTGCTGCTTATACTTAATTAAAGCTGCCTTGCGAAGTTCTGTCTTCTCTTTTACTCCTTTCTTGCACATTCCTATCAACACCCCAAAGTTCGTGTGTAGAGAGAGTTAAATTCACAACAAGTATGTTAATTGTGTATACATTCATCTTCACTTTGCCATAGTTTTGGATGCCAGCTGAAAATGAAATGTTGGAAAGCACAAAGGAAAGAGAATTTCATTTCTCTAAACTGAAGAGAAAGCAAGATATAGAAAAGAAAAGAAAAATTAAAAAAATGGAATGGATGAGGCAAATGTAAGTAGATGACTTAGTTTTACTAAAGAAATGTATGTCTTTTTGAGAAAAAAAAAGAAAAGTGGAGTAAGGATTACAAAGAAATTGTAATCACGACATTGTGAGTAGCATAAAGGCACATAGAGATGTTTGGAGCAGACCATAGTACTGAGAAATAGACCCACACATACATTGTTAGTTGATTTTTTTTTTTTTAAAGCAAAGTACATGGTTTATTCTCTGCTGCTTCACATGATAAGGTGATCTGGCCACATCAGTTTAGGGGGAGAAAGGGTTTGTCTCAGCTGTCAAGCTACAGCCTATCACTGAGGGAAGTCATGGCTGAAAATCAAACATCACTTGGAGTAGAAACCTTGGAAGAACACCGCTTGCAGGATTATCCTTAGCTAGCTTTCTTATGCAGTCCAATGAACACAGCTGAGCATGGCAGGCTCCCTCCACCCCCGGCCAGCCAGACCTATCCACAGGCCAATCCACTGTGGACAACTGCAGGTGACTAGGACCAGGACTAAGGGACTGCATTTGGAAAAGATGCTCCATATTTTTGATTAGGAAAATAGTTCACTTACATTCCAGGTTACTACTGGTAAGAATTTACTCTTGGCTTTTGTTGTTCTCCAATTGTTATATAGCCATGGTTTCTCTCTATCTTGTTTATTTTTGTGGTTTGGGGGCTTTTCAGGAGAGTTGCAGTGAGGTCCGCCCCCACCCCCCACCCCCAATTCACACACATTTCATGGTGTTTACTGCCCTTTCACACAAGATGCAGGTCTTTGCTGAGCATCTCTTATAGGTCAGGTCTAGTGATGAGGTGGTTGAGTTTCCTCAGTTCTTGAAAGTCTTTGTCTTACTAAACTTTGTTCAAATTGTCTCATGGCAATCCTCAAATGCTTGAATTACAGGTGTGAGCCATCACACCCGGCTTTATCTGATTCTGTCAGAGCCTTTGGTCTTCCCTACCTGCACAGCCACACCTTTCCCCAGGTTAAAGACATTTCATTGACAGGTTTTGTGGCTTTCCACATTTTGTTGTCTTGTATTAATTAAATATTTTGTAACAGTGCCATGTCTATCGGACTGTTTCTTCACTCTTTTTTTTTCATCTAACATATTACAAAAGATCCACCTTTATGCTCATATTTTTTCTCCTTATTTAATGTTGTGAAGCTATCAATTACATATTTAATTTGAATGAGTGAATTCCTCACTTGGAAGATTATTTTCATGATATATGTCTGCTAAAAGTTTCATTCATAAATTTCCCCAATTTTGTTGAATTTCCTGTGTATATGTTTAACTCTCCTAGATCTGAGTTTCCTTAGATTGGTTAAAACATTTAGTAGGCATTTAATTAGTATCCTTTTTTTTTTTTTCTTTTGAGTCTATAACTATAGTTCTGCTCCCTTGGAAGCTTCGTGTTACTTTTTCTCCATTACTTCTGTGTCTGCACCTCGTGGATCCTTTTGGAGTAAAAAGCCATCTTTCTGAATGTGTCTCCTTGAATGTTGGCCTGGCTAAGGACACTCACTGGCTCTGTTTCCAGTTGGCCATGGAAATAAACTCTTTCCTGTAAAAGGAACTTTTATTCACTTGTTTCAGTTGTTGTCTCAGAAGCTCACTGCCTCTATCCGCTGACCGAGGCCTAGTCCTGGAAGCTTCTAGCCTTCGTACAATCTAACTTAGATCTAGAATGTTTTCAGCCTCTGAGACTTACTGCTTAATAAGCTCACCATTTCTAATTCTTTCTAAATTCTGGCTGGCTGGTTCAACTCAGATGTTCTGACTCAAACTCCTCTCCCAGATAACTTATTCAATCTGGCTTTTCTCTCAGCCTCTGAATTGCTCTGGTTGGCCTCAAACTAATTCCAACAATCTGCTCTAATCATCTGGCTCCCTCTCATTCTCTGGCTCATTCTGCCTTCACCTGTGTCTACCCTGTTCTCGCATTCAATCTCTCTCTGTAAAACTCTCCTGGTAAAACCATCTCCACTCCCCCTTCCCTGCATTGCTTCTTAAGTAGCTTCCTTCTCTATTTTCGAGAGTTGGGCATATCCTATTCTGTCAAATCTTTTTCTGATTCATCACTTTTTTGCCACTCAATTAAACATCACTTTCTAAAATGGGTGCTTCCTTCTACAAACTAACTTTACTTTCATTGTTTGGGATTAAAGGCGTGTACCACCATACCTGGACCTAAGCTTTTCTTTACCTGGTACTTGCTCTGTACCAAGCTGGCCTTGAACTCAGATCTGCTTCCCTCTGTCTCCTGGATCAAAGGTGTGCCTGTATTCTAGATCATACAGATCTAGAAGTCTTTGGATGTGATCTCTTGTCAGAATAGCCATGTTCCCCAACTATAGTCCGTGGCTTGTGGATACCCTACATGTAGCAGTCCAGTCAAGGAGTCACTTTTCCTCTGAATGCCATGTTGGGTGGCAGCATGGAGCCACCCAAATAAGTATGCTTGCATACTGGGTCCCCACCACACTGACTGCTGTGGGTGCCAGGAATGAGGAGCATAGTGGGATTACTATTTCTGCAGGCACTTCAGGTCCTTCTGCATGTAGGTGCAGGCCCTCTTCTCTAGCATTTCTTGAGGCCCTGCTCTAGTAATGATGGCAAAGTCTGCTGATGATGGCACATTTGTCTTCTCAATGAATTTCTGCGTTTCTATTCTTAGTAATGACTACTAATGTCTTCTTATTTGTGCCTGGTGGGAACACTGACCTGAAAGCAGTGCTTAAAATAGTGTCAGACAGATGGAAGGAGGCTGTACTCAGACTCAATTTGAATCCTGGTTTCTCGCATTTTTACTTTCATGATTTTGAACAATTCCTTTACTTCTCCAAGTCTTGGTTCTTTATATGAAAAGACAGAAAAACAACTGTCACAAATGGCTGACTTTTAAAAGAAAAACAAGAAAACTATGCAATGTATCTGACACAAAGATGTAGATAAACAAACCTTTCCTTTTCTACCTGCCATTAGCCTTGTGATCTTGTAGAAGTTATCCAATTCCTCCTGGATTTATTTCTTCACTTATAAAATGAGAAAGCTAGCTTAGTCTCTAAGATTTTTCTACTCACAACATGGTTCAGATTTTCTTTGTATCATGAAACTTATGCCAGCTGATTAAGTGAAGGCTTCCTGGTTAGTGGCTAAATTAGCCCAGTAATGTTGTATCACATGGGTCTCAGTTTAGAGATCTACAGGACAAATATTTAATTTATAATTTTAATATATAACATAAACAAGAACATTTATCAACTGTGTCTACTTCTAATCACTTACTGCAACAGACGTATTTCACTTCTTTTCTGTTATTTAGGTACTATATGGGAAGCCTGGAGGCAAAGCCCACTAATCAGGAGACTCTAGGCCTAATTCATAAAGCAACAAAAGGACTAATCAAGAGTTTTGAAGATGGTGGGGTGGATTCTGTGATGGAATGGGAAGTGGATGAAGTGCTGAAGTGGACAAATACACTCAACTTTGAGGAGTAAGTACAGAGCAAGCCCTTCTAAAAATTCCCAAGCTTCCTAGGTTGAACCCTGGGGTCATGAACATAACCTTTAAAAACCGACTGCTGAGATCATGGGTGTGCGCCACCACGGCTGGCTCCACAGAAACATTTTATGAGGAAAAAATTAGAAGTAACCCTAATGTCCATCAGTTGACAATTAGGCATGTAAATCACAGTATACCCACATAATGTAGCATTATTCAGCAGTACAACAGTGAAATACTGGTATGTGCCATGATGTTAATGGAACTGTTAAATAAAAGCAGCCTAATTATAAGTGATTTGATATGTGATATATACAGAATAAGTAAATTTAGAGACAACATATATTAGTAGTGGTTACCTGAGGCTGTGGAATTTATAAGGCATGTTGAGTGTATCCTGGGTGTAGTGATGTTTGAAAATTTACTGTGGTGAGAAGTGTACATGTCTGAATATACTAATCATCTCCAAACCATAGACTTTACATGAGTGGATTGTAGAGCAAACAAATTATACCTCAGCAAAGCTGTTAAAATGTTCAATATGTATTCAGCTCCAAGAAATGTGAATATTGCATGGGCAAAGAGGAAAAGTGTAAAGATGGTGAAGAAATGGGAGCTGTTAGACAGAGGGGGTTAATGCCTGGGCAACACAGGTGGAGCTGGCCGTGGTGGGAAAGCATGGCTGTGAGATTAGGAGAGCTGCCCTGGCCTGCGGCCAGTGGTGGCATTAGATGGCCTGATGGGAGCAGCTCTGGAGAGCTCACCCTGCTGGCGCAGATAAGGGAGAGCCGGTGTACTGACATGCTCAGCCACCACCCAGGCCCAGATCCAGGGCTTGGAGTTGGCCCACCCCCAAATCTACATCATCTGCAGAACTCATGGATAGAGTGAAAGGGCCAGTCCTGTTGAGTCAAAGCTGCAGGATCGCCATGATACAAGGCAACAACGGGATAACCGAGATGAGTCCAGGTGGGAGTCTAATGTTGAATGTGTGGCAGAAGCCAGAAGTCTCAGGCCAGACCAATGACTCATTGCAATGAACACGTGCAGTGAAGATGTGTGGACAGAGGATACACTGTGGGACACACTGACACACCACAGCTTCCACAATGAGGTGTTTTCTTCTTTTTTTAAAAAAATGTATTTTCCTTTATGTGCACTGGTATTTAGCTTGCATATATGTCTATATGAGTGTCATATCTTGAACTTACAGACAGTTGTGAGCTGCCATGTGGGTGTTGGGATTTGAATCCAGGTCCTCTGGAAAAGGACAGTGGCCTTAACTGCTGAGCCATCTCTCAAGGAGATTTTTTTGCTGGTTTGTTTAAGCTTCCCTTCTTTTGTGGGGAAGGTTGCAAGAGCGAAAGACAGATATGAGGGGACAGGGAAATGGGTGGGACTGAAGTGCATGATGTGAAACTCACAAAGAATCGATAAAAAGTTGGGGGAAAAAAAGAGGGAGATAAAAGGGGAGAAGAAGAATCAAGGTGTCACCGACAGAACCAGAGAAAGAGACCAGATGAAGCAGAGAATGACAAAAGGGAAACCCCATTATTCAGATATGTCTTTGTCACTACACCTGTGGAGAAGCTGGTGTAGACAAACCTCTGTTGCCAGTCACTTCTCTGCTAGATTCTGTGTGTACTGGGATGAACACTTATGCTATAAAACGGTGGGCGTAACTGAAGACCCACATTTCCCCTTAAATGTTTCCCAATAGTGAACTTCTTTCAGTTCAATTAAATACATACACACATTTTATTTTTTCACTGACCCCTGACAACAACATAAACTTTAAGGTGAGGTGAGTGATTGTTGGGAATATACGAGTATTACTTTTGGGCACAGACACAAATTATCTGATGCAGGATCAAACTTTTCAGCAACTTGGTTCTACAGCAGGAATAAGCAGCTAGTTCCATTGGCTTTTATGGCTTCCAGTCTCCCTTACTGTTCTTTGTTTATAACTGGTTTAATGACATTATGTGGGAAAATGTTGAATATGGCATTTCTCCTTGGAAAATTGGTAGGTCAGTAATTTCTTGGAAAGACCTTCAAAAATCTGGATAACTATACTTACATATTAATTTTTAAAGCCCCACTATTTTATTTTAAGACAAAGTCTTACTATGTCACCTTGCCTGTCCTGGAACTTAAGAGATCCACCCCCCATCTCCAGAGTATTGGAATGAAAGGTGTGAGCCACCACAGGGTTCTATTTTAACCTCTTGTAACTCCTTGTCCTGGAGACTGCCTTAGAAGCATGTGACCTACTGGCCGGTGGTAAAGTCAAACATTGAGACTAGTGAAGATGTCACCTCTAAGCATATGTTAACTTATTATTTAGTAGTAAGTCAACTTAATGTCCATATAATACGTTGCAGGTATATTGCTAATTGGAAAGAAACTGCCACAAGCAACTCTTCAGCTACGTTAAAACGTAGGTGATTATTTGTGTGTGTGAGCATTTTGCCTCTGTGTAAGGGTACTATATGAATGAAGTGCCTGTGGAGGCTGGAGGAGGACATCAGATCCCCGGGAATTGGAGTGACAGTTGTATGTACTGCTGTGATGGGGCTGCAAACTGACTTAGGTCCTCTGCAAGAGCATCCAGTGTTCCTTTCCAGTCCAAGCTGGGTGATTTTTAGCAATAATTTATGAAAAATGTGTAAGTCTATATGATATTACATCTCTACATATGTCCAAGGAGCTAACCTTTCAGCATCTGTAAGAGTTTTTGTGTACATACATGGCTATAAATGACTCCGCCAGGTCATTTTTACCTTTTTGTATAGGGGTGTCATAGGCCATGGAGGGGTACTGCTTATTGGCTTGTTCAGCCTGCTTTCTTGGACCATTCAGGGCCACCTCACCTGCGCAGTGGTGGCACTGCCCATATGAGGTAGTCCCTCCACCACCAACCTCTTGATCAAAGCAATGGCTCAGACTTGCCCACAGGCCAATCTTACAGAGGCACTTCTCAATTAGGAGTCTCTCCTCCCATGTCTTTGTTTGTGTCAAGCTGACAAAAACAACCAGCACAGAGTGTGACTCTGCTATTTCATATAAGAAAGAAGTCAGGCAAAGAGAGGTTAGACTGCGGAGTCTGGGTTTGAGTTTTGGCTATGTGATTTTGGTCCTTCATTTGTAAAACAACAATATTACCTATACTTAGCTCATGGGAAGTAAAAGGCTCAGACTAGTGCTTGACATTTAACAGATCTTAGGATGCTGCCCAACACACATCACCCCATCAGTATGAACTATCATTTTCATCAGCTTGTTCACTTACTCCCAGCTCACTGCTACCCCCCAAATCCACCATGTGATTAACAAGTTCTGCAATGGCTACCATGCTGATATTCCCCAATTCATTCTATACACAACAGATAATGTGAACTCTTAGCAATTACAAAGAAGAATGAACTTTCTTGATTTTTCAAACAATATATGGAACAGGTTCCATTATCTGCATTTTCTGAGGGAGATGATATGACTAGCTCAAGGTCAGTCTGTGTCTAGGATTTAAACTGAAGCAGGTTAAGAATCCACTGAAACACTGCTGTAGTCTGCTGCTTCAAACACTCAGCTTTTCCTACATATATTCAGTTGACTGGATATACTTAATGAACACATTCTGCTTTTTACTCATACTCTTCATTTTTCAGACCCATGACTATTCCTCAAACACACCGAGCAGTTTCCACATTGGGGATTGGTGAAGTCAATGCTGATCTATTAGATTGGTTTAATCAGTATGCTCTGAGTAGTCCAACAATGTTGGTCCCACACCAGAGTCTGAGAATCCAGTGGCTGAACATTCCATGGCGGCTGGGTACATTATCAGTACTGATAGTCTAGAGGATCCTTTGAGAGCTGCTGATCTTTAGCACATGCTGGAAACCTGAAGCTGGCTCTGATATCAATCAAAGAATGCAGCATAGACAGATAAGTTTGCCATTAAAATAAAGACAAGCAGGCAAAGCAAGCCTTCCTTTTCCACCTCCTCTTATTTGGGCTGCTGCAGAATCGTGCCACCCACATGTGGGTGGGCCTCTCAATTAACCAAGCAAATTCCTCACATGATTGCTTGCCTTTTAGTTGACTCCAGACTGAGTCAAGCTGACAGCCAAGACTGACCATTAAAATGGCCTTCTGTAGAAAAATTTTTGGTAACCTTCTTGATAATAAGGACAGTCAGGGTTATACAACAGAGACCCTGTCTCAAAACACAAAACAAAGAGATAGGATGTACGTGAACACAGCATATCCAGAGCAGATCCAAAGAGAAGAAAATGTAGTTTATTTGGGAATAAAGCAATGGCCATAGTTAATTACAAAGCACTTATTTCCAAACAGTATGCACCATCACATTTAATTCTCAGAAAACCAGGCAGTGCCTGGGGGATGGCCTAGTGGGTAAGACTACTGGCTATGCAAGCTTGAAGACCCTAGCACTCTTGTAAGAAATGCCAGGCACAGCCTGTGGGTGCTTGTGACCTCAGCATTAGGGAGTGGACACACGGGAATCTCAGGAGCTCAATGGTCAGCCACCCCAGCAGAATTGATAAGCTCCATGATCATGAGAGACCCTGAGTTAAAGGAATAAAGTAAGGCAGTATGATAGAAGTCACCTTACACCATCCTCTGGCCTTCACTGGGAACAGCCACACTATGAGGCAGGGTCTACCATGATCTCAGGTTTTCCAGATGAAGACTTGGGCTTACAGAACACAAGTGAGTGTCCTAAACTACACAGGTGGTAGTTATTAGGAGGTCCTATCTAAACTCAGGCCCTGCAGAGACCTATACAGACAGACAGTGGTTAAAGTAGGACAAACAGATTGGGGCACTTAAGAGTTTCTGTTAAAACTCCAATAAGGACATGTGCTCAAAGTGTGGAGGAAAGGACTATAGAGTAAGGCACTGATTTTTGTTGTTTTTCGAAGAGGGTTTCTCTGTGTAGCCCTGACTGACCTGGAACTCGCTTTGTGCCAGTCTGGCCCTGAACTCAGAGATCCACCTGCCTATGCCTCTGAGTGCTGGGACTGAGAGTGTGCCTCACCACACCCAGCAGGGCATTGTTCTAACCACCTGTCATTTCTCTTTAGATGTCAAGCTTGAGCAAATACAGAAAGGCCTACACAACACCTATGAACCTAAATCCGCAGAGCCATTATTGGATGAAACTTTTGAGAGTGATCACAATGTAAGATCACCGTTCATTACCTTAACTCCTGATACCACGAATGGAATGTAACCACAAAGGATTTCCTTTTCTGAGTAATTGTCCTTCAAGCCCATTTTTCAGCTAAGAGATTACTCATTCTGACTACTATATATATTAAGGAAGGCTAAAGAAATACTACACTGGCCAGTGCATAGTTCTTCCTGGTATTTTGATAAACTGTAGTTGTCTGACAATTACACTTAAAATAAAGATATTTTAGGTATTCAATTCAAAATAATTTTGCTTTTAGTACAGTTGGTCAGGGCAAAGTTCACTCACTGAACAGTCCATATCCAAACGGCCTTTGCTTATTTGTTTTCCTCAACTGTCCACTGAAGAATTTATAAACTATGCATAGGTAACAATTTACACATTTATGAAAAACGGTACATTTCACAGTATTTCTACAATGTGTACCAACCAAATCAGGGCAGTTGATGTCTCCATCTTTAGGTTGGTGCATTTGGATAAACGGTGCCACAGTGAATGAGGACATGCATGGATTTCTTTGGGACATCAGTTTCCTTTGGAAATATACCTGTTAGTGATGCTGCTGGATCACACAGCAGCTTCTCTTTGGCTATCCAACTGTCCTTCCATCAGGATTCTGAGTTCCTTTCCCCCATATTAACACACATTTTTTTGATTTTTTGATAATGTACATTTTGTTTATAGCACCTTGTTGTTTTGCTGACTTTTAATATTTTAAAGGTTTTTTTTTTTAATGTATTCTTGATTAAACTCTTTTCAGATGAAGAGTTGGCAAGTATTTTTATCCTCAATTTGTAAGCTGTCTCTCCACTCTTATAATTTTGGTTTTGTTGCTTCACATGAACATTTTAGTTGGTGATTCCCCAGTCTGTCACTTTCAATGTTTTTTGTGCAGTAAGGGCACTTAAGAAAACCATTACTCACACTACCATCTTATGTTTCACGTAACAGTTCTATATGTTATCTTTAGGTCTTGACACAAATATTCGATTTGATTTTGATATAGGGTGAGATATAGAGTCAAATTTTAATCTACATTAAAATATAGTTTATCAGAACCAATGGAAATAAGAAAATTGTTTCTGGGCCAACATTATGTTTTTGGGAACATCTGTGTAGAATCAGTTCGGTGGGGTATGTGGCTTTATTTATAGGGCAATAAAGTTTTCATTATTGTAACTCAAGCATGTCCCCTAATACTTCTAAGTTTTTTATTGTTGTTAGCTACTGACAGGGTTTTGTTTGTTTTGTTTTTGTAGTTCTATATGAATTTTGTGATTTTCTAGTTCTCTAAAGGATGTTCCTGGTATTTTCAAAAGGATTGGACTGGCTCTATAATTTTTTTGTCTGTTATGAATATTTAGCAATATTAGTTCTTCCAACCATAAACAGACATACTTTTCATCTTGAGACTTCTCTGGTGACTTTCTTCAGTGTTTTGTAATTTTCATAGTAGAGGTTTTTCAGAGCCTCAGCTGAATTTATTCTACGGTATTTTACTTCTAACTACCGTGAATGGATTTGCCTTCAGTTTTTGTTACATAAGGTTAGTAGCAGGATGAAACTCAGCCCGCATATAGTCATTTTTGGCTTGACCTATCCAGACCTAATAAAGAAAATGACACCTCTGATCTCACGGCAAACTAGTGAACCTCAGAACAGTAACCCGAAGAACAGAGCAAGGCATTCTAACTTCTCCACCCTCAGCAAGGATGACTATTACCTAACATAAAGGGACAGACATGTCCAAATAAATGCAGTTAACAGTGACTTAAACATCTCTCAGCAACAGATCATCCTCTTCTGGAAAGCGAACGTGCTTATTAGGAAGAAAGTACATAATTTCTTTTTCTGAATTACTGGGGTTTGTGGTATATATTGTCAATCTCAACTTACTCATTATGAAAAGTAAAAGGTGAGTGTAAAAAAAAAAAAAGCCAAACCCAAAAAGTACCAGCCACTCCATTTCTGGTTTTATATCTAAAAACACTAAAAACGGAGTTCTGAAGAGATGTCTATATTCCCATGTTTATTATGATGGAATTCTGTTGTAGGGACAAATGTGTGTGGTAAACAATAAGATTCCTTCATTTAGGTTCTGTGTTGAGGCAGTATCATGCCAGGAAGCAAGTTGTCTTGCAAAGCTGAAACTTCTCAAAGATAGGGAGCAGTGACACAAAGAGACAAAGGGTTCCATCTTATAAATTCAAAGAGCATAACCCACCCCTCTCCTAACTTTCTTGTACTGGCCCAGCTCTTAAAGGTGGTTCCATCACCTCCCAAATGTTGAAAGTGTTTCTTATTTAATCTTAGAAAACCTAACAGTGTGAGCATGATAGTAGCACATTAAAAAAAAGTCATTTTCAGTGTGTGCAGTAACAGTTAACTCAGCACAAAACTTCACAGCAGTCCAGGGATGAAAAGAAATTTCTTTAACAAGAAAAGTGACAAAGCCATACAGGAAATTGGAAAACACTGGCACTTGAGTGTTAGCTATCAGCCACAGGACTGTTCAAACATGACTGCTTATATCTTCCACGATCACTGCATCAAGCAGAGGATGCAGCCAGAGAGGAAAGAAAGATAAAGCAACAAAAAAGTATTAAATCTGGAAGGGAAAAATATTTTTAATTTTTCACCTAAAACTGCAGTTCTCAACTCCTGGGTTGTGATGCTTTCCCAGGGTCACCTGAGACCATCAGAAAACACAGATATTTACATTACCACTCATAACAGTAGCAAAATTACAGGTCTGAAGTAGCAACAAAATAATCTTATGGTCGAGGTTCACCTCAGCATGAAGAACTATATTTAAGGGCTGCAACATTAGGAAGGTTGAGAACCACTAACCTAAACAAACCCACATATGTTTTCAGAAAGAATAAGACTTTATCTTGGTTACTAGATTAAAATATCAGTGGAGAGTAAGCAAAAAAATTTCAAATAATAATGAGAAAAGATAGTATATCAAAACCGTGAAGGTGCCCAGGAAAAAAATGTAATAAAGTATGCAAGATTTATACAATAAAAACTCTTAAGAACTGAGTAATATTTAAGTAGGTATAGGAATGAAGGAAAGTCCTCAGAGGAGATTTAACCATCATTGAAAACAGTGATGACAATGAATAAGTGACAAGAGAGAAAACAAGATTTAGCAAAGATAACAAGCAGCCAAAAGAGAAAAGCAGAAACTGTTAAATATTCAGTCACTGTGACTCAACAGAGAAACAAACACACAAACCTCCCACCCCCAAAACCTGTGAAAAGTTTTGAGTCCCTAGTTGTTATAAATGAAGGCAACACCATTTTGTACCTAACAGAATAAAATATTTTTTAGTTTGAAAATACAAACAAGGCAGAGGTCACCTGGTTTAGAACTTCTGCTTTTGAACAATATATTATTAATATTTACTCTTACTCCTCTCCTACACATAAAACCACATGTCCTGTTAGAGCAAAGTACGGGTTTTTATCCCTAGGAATAATTTTCATTATATGAGATCTTTACCAATTCTGAACCCAATCTCTCGGGATACTTTGACTATACTGTATACAAAACTCATTTTTTGCCAGAAGCTGTACAGAGGAACATGAGACCCTCAGGAGCAATGAATTTTACAACATGATAAAGTGAAACATCACGTTTAGGATACTAGGATCTTTATTTGTCATATCCCAGTACAAGTTAGTTTTTTAGATTTGAGAAATATCAGCTAGGTCACTTTATAAGCTAGAGTAATGAGCGTTATTCATTTGCCTTCCTGTTACAAGGTAATTAAAAACCAGCAGACACACAGGCTGGCTTGCGGTCACAGGGCAGCACCAGCCACTGCCCTCTGGCCTAACTGTGAGCTGCCCACGGAACACTCAGTACTTCATAGAGTGGACAAATGCTCATATAGTTAGCATATACTTGTATAGTTCTTTGTTAAAACATCTGGTGATTCAGCTAACAGTGTAACTGAGAAAACAAATCTACATAAAATACATCATTAAAGTGCAACTGAAACATTTGAAATGGCACATTTGTCTACTTCATACTGGCCTTCTACCTAAAAAGATGGTTATTATAAACCTTAAGGTGCCAAAATTCTTCCTTTTTGCTTTCGTTCCTTTTATCTTAAATTTGTGATGATTTCTAGGTGCAAAAAAAAATTTCCCCCGTTTTATGTGAACATTATGATGACCTTAGCTTTAGGAATTGATTGGAGACCACTTTGAGGGAGTACAAGAGCACAGAGCTAGTAGAGGGGCTGTTGTCTCCCTTCCTTCAGACACATTAGCTGTCTAACTTCCTTTTCTAGCAGCTTCTCTGAGTAAAATGTGCTGTGTTTTCTGACCTTAAGCAAGTAACCTTCCTCCAGCCTTCACTTTCTCTGGATATAATCTGGGACAACATCATGAATATTACAAGGTTTTGTTGTAACAATCAGAGGTGCTGCTGAGAGACAAGTCAGGTTCTCAGCATAAAGAAAATACCTGATTTTTAATACCTGTAAATCTAAGTATCTGTCATTGGCTCCTGGTTACTGCCCATCTTACTCAAGCTTGTCAAAGTATTTTCTATCGTAATATTTTTGACATTTCAATTAGCTACTTCTAGGTTTATCTGAAGAAATATGGTATAGTTTTTTTTTCAAAGCCATTGATAAAATCTGAATAGAATATGTGTGGGTGGCATATCATTCAAGGGTGAAGAATGGATCACTTATGTTATTCCAACCTCTTCAGTGGATTAACTACAAAAACAAATTACAAATTTACTCAGCTGGCCGTCATTAGCGAATATCGTCCTATATTCATGAAGATGTCAACAGTTCCATAAAGACATTCTAAGTTCATCACATTCTCTTATTTACTACACTCAGTAGATAACAAATATCCATTTAAGCAACACTGACAAAAGACACAAAGAAGGAAAGTTGAAATGCAGGGTAATTTTCCTAACAGTTTACAGACACTAAGAGTTTGGCTTTGTGTGTGTATGTATACATATATATGTCAACAATAAAAAACACAAACACACACACACACATACA